ACAATGGAGCAGTTCAGGAAGAATGGCAGCCCGTGGGAAGTACTCACATTGAACAAGTCCATGGAGGACTGTCTCCTGTGGGAGGGACCCCACGCTGGAGCAGGGGAAGAGTGTGAGGAGTCCTCCCTGTGAGGAGGAAGGAGCAGCAGAGATATCGTGTGATGAACTGACTGCACCCCCCATTCCCCGCCCCCCTGTGCTGCTCAGAGGGGAGGGGGAGATAGAGAAAATTGGGAGTGAAGTTGAGCCTGGGAAGAAAGGAGGGGTGGGGGTAAGGTGTTTTAAGATTTGGTTTTATTTCTTATTATTCTACTCTGATTTGAATTTTAATAAATTAAATTAATCTTCCCCAAGTCAAGTCTGTTTTGCCTGTGACAGTAATTGGTGAGTGATCTCTCCCTGCCCTTATTCTGGTCCACGAGCCTTTTGTTATATTTTCTCTCCCCTGTCCAGCTGAGGGGAGTTATAGAGCAGCTTTGGTGGGCACCTGGTGTCCAGCCAGGGTCAACCCATCACACATGTTTATCTGTGTAGCCAAGTCCTTTGTCACACATATTCACCACAATTCTAAATCAAGATATATGACTTCCTTGATTTATTATGAAATATAAGCATTTTCTTCATTTGGAAATTGCTACTATATCCAGAAATTCTGAATTTTTATAGCTGCATCTTGGATAAAATGCGGAATGAATTTGCCAAGGCAGAATATAATTGATTGTGCTTGGCTTGCTAGGTAATGACATAATACAGCATGACTTGACCTACTGGTGCAGAACACAATCAGTATGCATGCTCTAGCTGGTGGAAAACATAAAATAAACTGCTTAGATTATTTAGTGAGAACCCAATTTGCTTAGAATGACTACAGTACAACATACGGCTTGCAAATGAAAAGTATGAACTTTGAAAATGCAAATAAAAATAAAGCTAAGGCTGAGACTAAAATGTAAAAAAGAACACCTCCTAAGCAAAAAACAACTGAAGTTATACAAAAGTTCCAACCCTGTACAACCGGGGACCTGGCCCTGTATTTCCCAGCACCATTGGTGTGAGTGTATCCATGACAAAGAACAACTATCACAGTCTCTGACAGGGGAAGGACAGTCCTGTTAATCAGAACATTAAATTTCCTCCATGCTATGCCTAGACATCCCTCTGCACAGCATCTCTCATCATTTGTATTGCATCTTCCCGTCTGGTTCCAAAGCTGTTTACCATCGTGTCTCTGTACAGAAAGCGTGGGTGAAACCCAGCCAGGAAAGCAGCCCCTGGGCTCTGCTGCGCAGGCTCATTCCCCATGCTGCAGGGGCACTGTGGACTCCTCCTGCCTGTGAGGGGTGGGAAAGAGCCTTCTGCAGGCTGGCTTTGCTACTCCTGGAAACATCGAAGTTCACAGAAACCAAGAAATCAAAGGCAAAGCTCAAACCAAAAGATGAGTTTGAAAGACATGAGGTGAAGAGGAATGTGACAGTACAGGATAACATCATCATCATCATCTGTTAAGTTTTAGGGCTCTGGTGGCCTTTGTTTTTCCAAGTGGGAGATAATTTAATTGTGCTTAAGAAGAAGGTGAAATGAGAACAGACAGTTAGGAAAGTTTTGACATCAAAATTGTATAAAATATATCAATATGGTGAGAATTCAAAAAAAGGATTGAAGATGTGGAGTTGTATACTTAAATGCTATGGCAGTGGCCAATATTCAGCCACCAAAGAGGTCAGACACATTTCGTTATGCACTGGAATATTTGGAATCAATTACTGATTACAGAAGAACTAAAAAGAGAGCTTTTATTTCAGGGATGCAGATAATTTTAAGAATGATGCACTACAATCTAGTCATCAATCTCAAACTGAAAGTCATAAATCATCACATTTTAATACAATAACACATTGAACAATTAACACCTTGAATTACAAGTATATCACCAGAGCTGTGTTGAGTTAACATGCTGTATTTCTAGCTTTCACGGGCCTGGGAACTGTTCAATGTACTACAAAGATATCTGTATATGGGGTAAGAATATAAATGCAGCTGTTTATAAACTCACTGTCCCCCATGTCATGATGTTGCAAGTCCATATTATAAAAAAATGAATTGCTAATGAATCAAAACACTTCAAAGGCAATCTTCCCCTCAGTTTGGTTTCAGAGGCTCTAAAGCCCAGTTAAACTCATTTCCTGTATTTTCCATGGATTTTCCCTGGATTTACTGCTATAGGTTCAATAAACCTGTCTGGTGATAAAAGTAACAGCACAGGGAAAAAAATCATAACTGTTTCTTGAAAGCCTCATAAAATTATATTCTGCAAGGGGCATTAAACCACTCAGTTGATCCTAATTCAGCATAAAACCATTTGCTTCCCAGTGAAGTGGTGCTGTGCCCATTGGTCAGGGCAGCAATAAGCAGAAGGAGCTGCGTATCTGAAGGAGATGTACAGTTGGGCTGGGAACAAAACAGCTTTTTAGAAGCTAGAAAACAAGCAAGTGTACACAGTCTTAGGAGGGGAATTAATTTAGATCATGTAATGTTAACACACTAGACTTCATTACTGAGTGCAAGCTGCACATTTCACAATTCTTCTTCCTCATATAAAATGATACCTGATAGTAAACCAGAAAGAAAAGGAGGAGGTGATCTGACTAAGGATAAAAACATGGTAACTAAAGAAGTAACCAGATAACTAAGTAGACTTTAAAAACTAGATGGTCTCTGAATGCAGCCTCTCTTTTCAAATATCCTCTGCAATGTAAGTTTGAAGGGTATGAAAGGAGACACTGAGCACTTGGGAGGTTGATACTACATTTCAGGTAAAGGCCCTTCAAAAAGTCCTGACAAAGGCCTTCTCTTTATCAACACTTCAGATAGGAAGAACAAAGGAGAGACACACATGAGTTATATGGATTGCAGGATGAGTACAAAGCACAAAGGAAAAGCAGTGATGAAAACTGTAAATACAGTCTTACTATCTATGGGGTAACAGGCTTCCTTTAGTATGAGAATAATGTTGATAACACACTGATGTTTTTAGTTGTTGCTAGGTAGTTGTAGTGTCTGCACCAAGTCAAGGGCTTTTCAGGTTCCCACGCCCTGCCAGGTGCACAAGGAGCTGGGAGAGCACAGCCAGGACAGCTGACCCAGCCTGGCCAGAGGGATATTCCCTGCCATAGAAC